CGGGAGGCGGAGCTTGCAGTGAGCTGAGATTAAGCCACTGCACTCCAGCCTGGGTGACAGAGCGAGACTCCGTCTCAAAAAAAAAAAAATAAATTTTTTTTCTTTGAGATATGGTCTCAGTCTATTGCCCAGGCTGGAATGCAGTGGCGTGATCTTGGCTTACTACAGCCTCCACCTCATGGGTTCAAGCAATTCTGCCTCAGTCTCCCAAGTAGCTGGGACTACAGGGCCACCACACCCGGCTAATTTTTATATTTTTAGTACAGATAGGGTTTCACCATGTTGGCCGGGATGGTCTTGAACTCCTGGCCTCAAGTGATCCACCTGCCTCGGCCTCCCAGTGGGCTGGGATTATAGGAGTGAGCCACCGTGCCTGGCCTAAACAATTTTTTAAGAGATAAGGTATCATTATGTTGCCCAGGCTGGCCTCGAATTCGAGCTCAAGCAATTCTCCTACCTCAGCCTCCCAAGTCTCTGGGACTACAGGTGCCCATCACTATGCCTGGCTAAAAAGGATTTTTTAAAAACCAACTCCATTCCACATAAAAGACTACTCCAGATCCTAAAGCATACCCCAAGAGCAGCACCACTTGCTCATAGCATTTAAATGTATTTAAAAAGCATCCTCCTAGGCCAGGTGTTGTGGCTCACCCCTGTAATACCAGCACTTTGGGAGGCTGAGGTGGAAGGATCACTTGGGCCCAGGAGTTCAAGACCAGGTTGGGCAGCATTGTGAGACTCTCTACAAAAAATAAAAAAGCTAGCTGCATGGTGGTGCATGCCTGTAGTACCAGTTATTCAGGAGGCTGAGGCAGGAGGATTGCTTGAGCGCAGGAGGTAGAGGCTACGGTGAGCTGTGATCGCACCACCGCACTCTAGCTTAGGTGATAGAGGGATATCTTGTCACAAACGGAGCATCTTCTTGGCTCTTAAAGACTGCCAGGTTGGAGGAAGGGTCCTTTTGAAAATTATGACTAACGTGGCTGGGTGTGGTGGCTTATACCTGTAATCCCAGCACTTTGGGAGGCCGAGGTAGTTAATCACCTGAGGTCAGGAGTTCGAGACCAGCCATGGCCAACATGGTGAAACCCCACCTCTACTAAAAATACAAAAATTAGCCAGACATGGTGGTGTGCACCTGCGATCCCAGCAACTCAGCAGGCTGAGGCAGGACAATCAACTGAACCCGGGAGGTGGAGGTTGCAGTGAGCTGAGATTGCAACATTGCACTCCAGCCTACGCAACAAGAGCGAAACTCCATCTCAAAAAAAAAAAAGAAATTTATGACTAACCTTTATTGCACATCTACTCTATGCCAGGTATTGTGCTAAATAAATACTCTCTGTACATTATAGGAGTGACTTTTACAAATCTAGTAATTTCTTTTTTGAGACAGTCTTGCTCTGTTGCGCAGGCTGGAGTGCAATGGTGCGATCTCAGTTCACTGCAACCTCTTGTGTCCCAGGTTCAAGCAATTCTTCTGCCTCAGCCTCACCAAGTAGCTGGGATTACAGGTGCCCGACACCACGCCTGGCTAATTTTTTGTATTTTTAGTAGAGGCAGGGTTTTGTCATGTTGACCAGGCTAGACTCAAACTCCTGACTTGAGGTGATCCAGCCTTTTTTTTTTTTTCTTTTGAGACAGAGTCTTGCTCTGTCTCCCAGACTGGAGTGCAGTGGCATGATCTGCCTCACGTAAACCTCAAGTGATCTGCCTGCCTCAGCCTCCCAAAGTGTTGGGATTACAGACATGAGCTACTGTGCCTGCCTCGCCACAAATCTAATAATTTCTTTTATTTGAGACAAGGTCTCACTTTGTCACCCAGGCTGGAGTGCAGTGGTGTGATCTCGACTCACTGCAGCCTCCATCTCCTGGGCTCAAGTGATCCTCCTGCTTCAGCCCCCCAAGTAGCTGAGACTCTATAGGCACATCCCATCATGCCTGGCTAACAAATCTAGTAATTTCATCTGAAAATCACCTGAACAGTGTAAAAAATAACAAATAAAGCCACCCTCAGTGACCTGGCCCCCATCAATTATTTTGGTAGCTCTTGGATAGGTATTTAACTAGAAGAAAACCCGGCTGGGTGTGGTGGCTCACGCCTGTAATCCCAGCACTTTGGGAGGCTGAGGCGGGCGGATCATGAGGTCAGGAGATCGAGACCATCCTGGCTAACATGATGAAACCCCATCTCTACTAAACACACACACACACACACACACACAAAATTAGCCAGGTGTGGTGGCAGGTGCCTGTAGTCCCAGCTAGTCAGGAGGCTGAGGCAGGAGAATGGAGTGAACCTGGGAGGCGGAGCTTGCAGTGAGCAGAGATTGAGCCACTACACTCCAGCCTTGGTGTCAAAGCAAGACACTATCGCAAAAAAAAAAATAAAAAAAAAAAAAAAAAAAAAAAAAGAAAACCCCTCCTAGATGATTCTGGGAGTACTATTTTTATCTCTGATGCAGTAAGAAAGAGCAACTACATTTTGCAGATGAGGTAACAGATTCAGAGAAGTTAAACCATTCACCCAAAACCATATAATGGCTAGTAACAGATTTCAAATCTAGGTTTGCCTGACTTCAGAATCCATAATTTAATCATAATGCAATAGAAAGAAATTAAGAAAATACTAGAGGAGACCTAGAACTGCCTTATTTTGAGCTGATAAGGCTCAGTGGAAGAAGCACTTTCCTAACAAGGGAATCATCAGTACCCCTGAGTCAGAAATGGGAAGAGAAAAAATGGGCAGCTGGAGGGGAGAAGGAGGAGGATAGAGAGGGTGTAAGCACTCTTTTTAACAAAACAAAACTAAGGAAAAATTCCGAACCCAAGAGGCATGAGGGGGTTGGAAAGAGGACATTCCAAGGACTAAAAACACTGATACACAGACCATTAAAAAAGATTCTTCCCAAATGCCAAAACTTAGTAAAATGCATAAAGAAATACTAGCACTTTATGGCATTTCAGAGTCTTCTTTATCTCTGTTCTCCTAGGAGGTTAAAGCCTTTTGGAAAGTAACAAAAGGCCAAAACCACAGCACCTCTGTGGTGTAGGCTAGAGATGGGCAGAGACCGCACTAGTTTGCCCTTTGGCAGACTTGGGATACACTCAGTGGGTGGGCTTTAAGAGAGCTTCCATAACTTTCCAACTTGCCCAACTTGCAAAGCAGTCCAGTAAGCAGTTAGGGTGGTTCCTGCTTTTTGGGGAAAATTCCTCCAAAAGGGGTAATAAGGAAGTACAGAAAGCTTTAGATACAGAGGCTCCTGGGACAGAGCTGCCCTTCAGTTGGCTACTAGTTTATCATGGAAAAGTCTTATTTCTTTTTCCAAGGTGGTAGTAGGGGTATGCTTCCTGCTTAGTCATGAGAGCCAAAGAATGTATGCTGTGAAGCTGGGCAAGAGGTAAACATAGTCAGCAGACAAGAAACAGCCAAGAGGAACTCAAGCAGCCATAATTAGAGACAGTTAAATGTCTATTTTGGAATCTGGGATATAAGTGGGAGAGATTTCTGGAAGGAAGAGACAAGAATAACTGAGGTCAGATTTCCACCGCAATAAACAGCCTGGTTTTCCTTAGGCTCAGTGGATCTGACTGGGGTCTTCAGGAACCTCCCATATTGTCTGTCTCATCCAGTTTATGTATAACTCTTTCTGAGACACATAAACCACTGCTGTGGAGCCTGCAGATATGATAGGGAGAGTGGGGTGACCAATGGAAAACTGTGGACTCTCCTGAAGCTCCTGGTAAGTGGATCAATGGAAGGCTTTGAGATGAATACCTGACAACAGCTTACTGGGTGTGAAGCTCTTTTGTGACCATATGTATCCTCAATTGTTCCCCAGTATTATTGTGCAGCCAAAATCACCTCCAATGGCAAGGCTG